GCTGCAAGATCACTGTTAAATCCGAGTCTGAGCAAATTGAACCCTGTTATAGCCAGGTCCATATTACTTACACTTATAGAGAAAAAAAGGGAGGATTTGGTGTATCATTGTTACATCCAAGTTTTTGTAATAACAGAGGGTGTTATAAATGGACTGTACTGTAGTAACAGCACCTGTCCGTAGCACCTGATGAACGGTACCAGTACCAGATAGAATTTAATTTGTGAGCAAAATGTAGACAAAAAGTGACGACAATCGTTCCTATTTTAAGAATACACGTTTCGTATTCGAGAATGCCAACCTTCCCCCCCCCCCTTCCCCCTTTCCTCCTTTTCTCCTTTTCTCTCCCATTCCCCCTTACTCCCCCCAACACCTGTTGTTGGAAGTGTGGGGGGAGGGGGCTGAGAGAAAGATGCACACAGAGAGACAAAGGGAAAGAGAGAGGAGAGAGAGAGAGAGAGAGAGAGGAGAGAGAGAGAGAGAGAGAGAGAGAGAGAGAGAGAGAGAGAGAGAGAGAGAGAGAGAGAAAGAGAGAGAGAGAAGGGAGGGCGGGGGGCAGGGGGGACAGTCAGAGAGAGAACTGGATAGGGGAAACAATCAAGGGCGGGCTTTATCAGAGCCGCGCACTTTTTGACGTCATCTATACAATCAGAAAAAGAGGGTTGTAGATAGAGAGGTGGGGAGAGGGATAGTGAGGACGAGAGAGAGAGAGAGAGAGAGAGAGAGAGAGAGAGAGAGGGGGGGGGGAGAGAGAGGGGGAAAAAAGAAAAGCAGAGAGAGTAAGAGACACCGAGAGAGAGATGAGATAGATAGATAGATAAATAGATAGATAGATAGATAGAGGGATAGATAGATAGATAGATAGATAGATAGATAGATAGATAGATAGATAGATAGATAGATAGATAGATAGATAGATAGATAGATAGATAGATAGATAGATAGATAGATAGATAGATTAATCAAACACTGATAACCTAACCGGTATCTATTTCCCCCTCAACTTCTTTACTCATTATCGCATAAACATGTTATTCGCTCATTTTGTGAACGAAATCTTGGTCTTTAAGTTCATCCAATTAATCCTGTTAACAAAAAAAAAAATTAAAAATTAAAAAATTAAAAAATTAAAACCAGAAGAGCAAGATAATTCACTGCTGTCTTTATTTTCAGTAGCACCAATAGTAAGAGATAACAAAAGTAACAAACAAAAACATATCAAATAAAAGCGAACAAACAACCAGCCTTCATACATGTTTATGACTGATCCAATCCTTACATTAGGGATGTGAGAAAACTAACTCAGTCAATAATATTAATTTGTGCTTTGTCAAATGGGCATTTTGTTGTTGTTGTTGTTGTTGTTGCTATTGTTGTTTTTACTGTTGTTGGTGTTGTTGTTGTTGTTGTTCTTGGGGGGGGGGGGGGGTAATAGTCCCCTACGTATTTATGTGGTATTTGGTTTGGAGAGGTGGTTGTAAGAGCAAGTTCGGCTGTACTTTTATTTTAATTCGCCTTTCGTAACCACGGCATTAGCATCAATAGTAAAAGATAGCAAAAACAAAAAACAGAAATCTAGCAAATAAAAGCAAACAAACTCAAAAACACAAACAAAAAACACAACCAAACAAAAAGAAAACAGCATAAAAAGACAACAAAAAAATACCCATCAATAACAGTAATTAAAAAAACAACAACAAAAAACAATTAAATGTACAAAAAAACACGAAGATGTGCTGAAACATGCAGTAAATCAACGCACTAAACACTAAGGATCTTATACTACCGGTTATTTCCCCTGTAAAAAAAGTCGTCAAATATTATTCACGATTATTCCCCTTGAATAACACCGTCTTCATTTTCATGCGAAACCTTGCATTTTTCTTTTACAGTTTAGTTGAAATTGCCAAAGACGGTCATCCATTGTCGAGGACAAAAATGGTTTTCTTTAAATAGATGGATGTTTTACACAGTATAATTTTTTTGGGGTTAATCTTATTTTTATTTTACGCAAGGTGAGATGGGAAATGGCGCTTGTACAAGTGACTGTCGTATAAAGGTCGCCGCTTGAGCAGGTTCTATTGTAATTTGTATTTTATTAATCGACGCCTGCTTTTAATAAGAAGTTACAAATCGGGTGAATGTTTCAAGGCTTGAGATACAAGTCTGCTAGACAAAAAATTAATTTGTTCTTCTTTCTATTAACTGTGTTTCTGCTATGGAAGCGCTATTAATAGCTGAAACAACGAAGTAGGATAGCAGATCGTTACGCTATGACACCACCACCACCACCACCACCACCACCACCACCAACAACAACAACAACAACAACAACAACAACAACAACAACAACAACAACAACAAAAACATCAATAACACACATAATAACGTAATAAATTCCGAGTCCATACACCACAAATACAACAACAACAATTCAATGAGTCTAGAATCACCTTCTTACACATCAAACGCAACGACAACATTTCTACCTCTAACATCAATAACAATGACAACGATAGTGTCAACCATAACAACAAAAAACATCAACAAAAACAACAGAAACAACAACAACAAAAACGACAATAACAAAGACAACCACAGTGACAACAGCAACAACAACTACAACAGCAGCAACAACAACAACAACAACAACAATAATAATGATAATAAACTACAAAAATAGCAACAACGACAACACAACAGCAGAATGGTCGATATACTGGATAAATATATACACATAGGCCTATATATTATGGTTGCTTTTATGCACAAGAGGGCTATCCCGAAAATTGCTGTTTTTGAGAAAATAGAAGTATTAGAATGTAAGGTTTTTCCCCTTGTCTAGTTTCTTTAAAATACAAGGAGAGTTTTCTCTATAACCAAACAAATATACACACCAATGAAACAAAACTTCTCCTATAGGTAGGGCATTTTTGGTGTTGGTCAAGATTGTGAAAAAACCTCGAAATCTGAGTTAGTCCACTTGTCCTTAAAAGCGACCATATATATTATTATACATGTATATATATTATACCCCAAAGGTAGCTTTTTTGAGAGCATCCGAGCAAAGGAATGAATGGAGAACCATCATCCCCGATGTCTGTTGCAGATCTGGCACTGGATGAGGATGATATTATTCCCCGCTCAGCATTGGCAGGCCCTTATAGTGAGGGTCAGCCCAGACAGTCAGCCCAGCCCGCCTTCTTATAGTTAATGATCTCACCGTGTCAATAGGGGCGTAGTGTACCAATCGTCAGTTCATGAATCCATCTCTCTCCCTCTCTGTCTCTCCCTTTCACTAACTCACTCACTCACTCACTCACTCACTCACTCACTCACTCACTCACTCACTCACTCACTCACTCACTCACTCACTCA